CTTTAAGATGAGTGGACTGGCTGGGGAATTCTGGGAGTTGAAGTCCACTCATCTTAAAGTGGCCAAGTTTGGACAACACTGCCTTAAAGCCTAGGAAATGTTGCCAAGGTGCAGATAAAGCTTCAAAACAATAATTATTGAAAGATTTTTCAGTGGAACAATACCATTAAGATGAGATGGCAAGAGGTCTATGGAGGGACACATGGTTTACGTGCACAAGGTTTCACATTTAGTTCCCAGCATTACAAAAGCTGCTTCTTGCACCCTCGGAAAATTACTACCTCTCTGTGTTAGATGGGCAGTGGTATGACTCCACACGTCCACTATCTATATTCCTTGGAATGTGTTTTATTGCCTATGATTATATCCCATTATATGCTAGCAGAAAAAGTACACATGGTGGGTTGTAGAAGCCACACAACTAGTGCAAACAGCACTTAACCTAGTAAATGAATTGTAGAATAGCTTGCATAAGCAGAATCAGACATCAGCTTTGACATTAACAATCCAATTCAATTTCTGCAAGTTGAAGAAGCTTTGCACTATCAAAATAAGTCCATTGGATATAGCTCAGTGGCCTGTACAGAGACAGAAGCATTGGTATTGCATAGAAAATAGAGAAATGGACTGGTGTTTAAGATACAGGCATTTCCATCCTTTCTCCCCCCCACCCCCCACTTTAAATTCTGCATTTTGGGTACGCATCTGAAATAATTTAGTAAAGTATAGATAACCTGTAAGTCATAGAGCACTATTGTAAAGAGTCCGAGGGTTGTTGTTTTTTAATTATTATTTCCAATAACTTCATTTGATTAATGCTGGATTCCAAAGCATCATTCATATGAAGATGAGCTCTTGTATTTAATGGATGCAAAATGTTGTCCAGGGTGGATTTTTTCCTAAATGTTGTCATTTCATCCTTGGATGGTAAGGCCTTTGTTTTTATTTATTTATTTATTTTGCCACAATTGTTCTAAAAAAACCAATCTGTAGTAAAGCTTGGGAGCCCATAACTCCCATTCAGACTGTGAGTGAGATCATCTGTATTTATGCATACTTACTTAGAAACCTATTCCCTGAGTCAATGCAGATGAGTTCCAAGCATAGTGTTTACATTTCACCTTGATCACTGCCATTGCTTCTCAGTCTAGGTCAGTGTTTCTCAACCTTAGCAACTTTAAGATGAGTGGACTTCAATTCCCAGAATTCCCCAGCCAGCAGGAATCCACTCATCTTAAAGTTGTCAAGGTTGAGAAACACTGGTCTAGGTACTTCCACCAGCAGTATTAAAGTTTGCTAAGGTTACGGGATGTGAGGTGATTTAGAACACTTTTCAAATAAGGTTTATGATAGTGATTTTATCCTGAGATACAAAGCAATTCCTAGCGAACTGGCAGAAAACTATATCTTATTTGCTTTGTTTTGCCATATATATAACATGAAATACAGGGAGAAAAGAAAAACAGCAACAGCAGCCAAGCTCTCTTCTAGACTAGAATAGAGACAGTCTCTATATTGTAACTTCTGGCCATGTACTCAATATGCTCATTCTCCTAATGAACTTTCTCCCTGTCTACTCCATTTTGTAATAAACTACTCCTATGAGGTTTTTCGGTGCACATGCAGTTACTTATCCTGCACAGTTGTACCTTCACAATATAGGAGATTTCTCTTAGTGGTGGAGTGGATTTGAAATTTTTGAATCCCCTACCCCATCTTCTCCTTTGATGTAAAGCAGGACAGGGGGGTTATGAGCAGAAAATCCAGAAGGCTATTTTTTTAGAATAGTAGAAATAGTCTAAGTTTCACTGCTCAGGTAGAGGAGGGCTGGCAGATCTGGTCTGCAAAAATCCTGGCAACTGCTAGATGGCAGAAAAGAGATACCCAAAAAAACAATATCTTTGCTAACCCTACCTATGGAGTTGCACAGCTGTAAATAACCACACCATTTTTAAATCTGTGCTCCAGTACAACTACATACACGCTCATGAGAATTGGAAGAACTGGAAAGTTACATAGTCTCCCTACTCCACTTTTTCTGTGGTTGTGAAGAGCTGGAGCTGGCATGTGGCTAGAGACCCTAGAGACACAAAACACATCACTTTCAAAGGTCACCTATTTCTCTTTCAATTATAGAACTGCCTGTTGTTATACTACACTGCATTTGTTAATCTGTCCCCACAGAACAGCAACTTCACTTGAGAAAAAACACAACAGTGTCTTGGGAGCAAAAGGGACTTAGAGATCCAGCCCTGCTGTCACAGCTTGATGGAGTCAAGTGCAAAAAGTGATGGCCAGACAAGCTAATGATCAGGTTCTGGACTGACAAGGCTCCAAAGGCAGATCTCAAAGGCTCTTGACAGCTTCCTTTGCTGAATTACTAAACAAACCTTTTCTCATAGAAGCAATGCTCAGAATGGGGAGCTAAGCCACCGCCATTCTTTTGTAAGGCTAGCAGGAACTTTTCAAATTCTCTTGTGTCACCTGATTCCTTCTGGGTTCTCTGTTGGTCATTGGGAAGGGAATACAGGAAGGTTACAAAGTCCATCACACCTTCCACCTATCAGTTGTCCTAGCAGTGGCAAGTTAATCCACTTTGTACCCACTGACACTTTGCATCTCCAGAGCTGCAATTAGATTTAGTTGATTAAGTTAGTAAAACTTTATAGTACTGTTTTCATGTCAATGTTTTGGGGTAGAAAGCCAGTGTGGTGTAGTGATTAGCGTATTCAATCAAGGAGACAGAAGTTCAAATCTATACTTTCAGAGGAAGGAAAGGGAAGGGAGGAAGGAAGGAAGGAAGGAAGGGAGGAAGAAAGGAAAGATAATGGCCAGTCAGTAACTCTCAATCCAACCAATTTCACAAAGATATGGCTGAATTTGAGCTCTGGAGGAAAAGTGTGATATAAATTTAGAATGAATTAATCATGCTTAAATAGTGTAGGTTGCCTGTGTTCAAAACTTGGGGACTTCCCTGCCGAAATAGTAGTTTAAAGTGGGCATGAACTATTTGATCTGGAAATTACTTTAATTATTTGCTTGCTTGTTTGTTTTCATTTAGTAAGCTGGCTAACTTTTGATTTTAAATGCTCCTTTAGACCTGCTGATTGATGTGCTTCCTATCCCCTTTCATCTGACAGATATGATCAAGGATTTTGTATCAGCAAGGGATTTCAGTGCTCTCACTCATTTGGCTATTGTCAATGCAATCTACTTCAAGGGAAATTGGAAGTCTCAGTTCAGACCAGAGAACACAAGAACCTTTTCCTTCACTAAGGATGATGAAAGTGAAGTACAAATTCCCATGATGTATCAGCAAGGAGAATTTTACTATGGTAAGGAACAGAAAATGTCCATTTTCTTTCTAGCCCTCTGCTGCAAACTAGATATTTCTTTATTAATTCTAGACACATCCTTTGCCTCTTCGGTCCTAGTGCCAAGTCACAGTATCTGTTACACAATGCTCCTTGGAATGAATGGGGAAAAGTATCCATTATGTTGCCCCAAAGAAGCTTCCAGGGGAGTCTTTCAGTAATTGCTGGCTCTGATATCCTTTTTATTGATGGAGCATAGTAATTCAAAAACCCGATTCTCACCTTTCCTACAAAGCAAAAGGTTTTAATTCTTTTAATTTTTAATTAATTTAATTAATTAAGATTAATTTTTAATCTTAATTCCTCACTTGTAATATGATGGTATATGAGTACTGAGTTTTACCTTGCAAGATTATTGCAGTTACATCAAATTGTTCATGTGCAGGGCTTTGAAGCCTCAAAACACTATGCAAAAAATGTTGCTTACTGCAAGTAGACTCTGTGACATTCAACTTGCATGGAGCTGAAATCCTTGTTGGTGAAGAAGAGTTCCCTCCTTCTTGCCTGCTCTTCCATCAATCATGTTGCATCCTTTGTCCCTCTAAGATCCGAATGCTTTGGGCTATTGCTCCCAGTTGAATGACAGGAGAGAAAAACTGTCTGAAAACCTCGTCGAATATCTCACAGCTGCAAAGTGCATGTTCTCTCTCCTTGTTTCAAGTAGGCTTGATGGGTTGGATGACAGCCCCCACTCCTACTCGTATTTGATGATAGACCATATGGGAGCCATATGGTCTATCATCAAATGTGAGTAGCCCTAACTTAATGGCTGGTTAAGGAGGTCTCTGGCTATCCAGTCACTCCTTTCCAATTCAGCACTGTAGAGAAAGATTATTCACATTATCTTGGATGTTCTGCTTATAATCCAGCAAATGTATAGCAGTAATTCCAAGCAACCTCTCATCATGGATTAGCAAGAGCCAAGTCTGTTTGGTTTTAGAAATGGACTTCCAGTTTTATTACATATTTTAAAGTTCAAATGCTTTGAGGCACAAAAGGAAACATTTTAGCTAGATTTAAACATGAGATGCTTTTCTTCATTGTCTGATGCTATAAACTGGTTGACTTATTATGATTTGAAAAAGCCATTTGAAGGCAACTTGCAAACCAATAATGCTTTAAGCATTATTTTATTAATGCCTGAATTTATAGATTATGGGGATCAACTCACAAAGTTATAAATCTGAGCTTATAGAGAAACAACAATAGGCAAAAATTATAAACCATGATTTCTCTCTTGTGCATTTAGAATTTCATACCATAGTACACATTCATGATTTTTCATTCAGTTTAAATCCAGCTTTTAAACAGTATGTAATAGTAAACTGTCTATTAGTTACATCCCCAAAACATAGACCAAGTAAAAATACGGCAGTGCCCTATTTTGTCTTTTTTCACTAAAAAAAAATGGGGCCATATTCCCCAGCTGGATGAAAAATTCCAACTAACTTTTTTGGGGGGTTCTTTTAGGGGAATTCAGTGATGGATCCAATGAAGCAGGAGGCATCTATCAAGTCCTGGAAATACCCTATGAGGGAGATGAATTCAGCATGATGATAGTTCTCTCCAGGCAGGAAGTGCCACTAGCCACACTGGAGCCTTTGGTGAAAGCCCAGCTGATCGAGGAATGGGCAACCTCTGTGAAGAAACAAAAGGTTGAGGTGTATCTTCCAAGGTGGGAGTCCACTTCTAGCTTCTTATGGTAGAAAGAGGAAAACCAGTTAGTTTGGGCTGGCAGGGAGGGAGAGAAAAGGAGAATGAGATAGAACTGCTTGATCCATTAAGGAGGGGAACAACCTTTTGAAGGTTTGGTAAGAACCACACTGAGTGAAGGGAGCATATAAAGATGGTGCTTTTACTATACATGTCACTGGAGACAAGATTTCCTATGCTTTTCCAGGGTGTTGGAGAAGAGTGTGGGGGTAGCTTTTGTTAAACCTGTTTTAAGACTTATTGTGTAGTTTGGTGTTTTTTCTGCCATAAAAAGGAAAGAACATAGGCTTCTGATGTTCTGCTAGGGTGGTCAACATTATTTTGAGGATTGCAAGAAAGATGTTGTGGCTCTGTTCTACATATCTTGAGATATGTATAAAGATTTAACTCAGTTACTCATGTGTAAAGTGGAAATGTTATTCAGCAGAGAGTAGAGGTGAAGAGAAACGTTTGGGCAATATTTATTTGATGTGATTAAGAAATGTTTATATCCTTCTTTTCTACTAAAGAATAGTTGAGGGAACTAATAAAAATAATGAAAACAAGTGTAAGGCAATGCAACAGTTTGCATGTAATAACTTGCTAGAAGGTAAACACAGTAATGCACTTGACAAAATGGAAGACATTATTTAAAGATTGAAAAAAAAAAAAGATCAATCAATCTCCTCTGCTGATCTCCCCCTACCTAAGAAGGACAGGGGTCTGTAAGTGCCAGGCAGAAGCTTCCAAGTTCTCTGTCCACATCCTTTGGTTTGATAGGGTGAAAAAACTCCCACTAAGACTTAAAAATAAGAGGCTGAGCATAGTAGTTTATCACAATCTATTTTCAAAAGAGCATGGCCCAGTTTTGGGAAAGCCGAATCATAGGCAGCCCTAAAGCGGTGTAGTAAAGAATTCAAAAAAAAAAAAAACTTCTTGTATCTTGTACACATTTAAACTTCTCTTAGTTTAAATGTGTGTGGCAAGGATGGATCAACTTAAGACTCTCATCCATATTGTAAACAAGGCTGGATAGTCCCTTGAATCTTTAAAGGAATTTTGAGGCCTATGTAAGGAAGAGAAGGAGCTTTGCTTTAGGCTTCTTTGAAAGCAAGCTGTAGATTTGAAGACAGCTTTAAATCCATCTGGAACCTGCCTTCTCTTCTGAAGTCAGGGCGGCACTGATATCTGCTACTCTTGTTTCTCACTGTTTCCTCTGCAGAATATTTACTCTAAGAACGTCAGACCTTTTTGCTTTCCCCCACCAGAAAACAGCTTACATCTCAGTGTTCTCTTTTCTTCTCATTTTCCCTCCATGAATAACATTTTAAGACACCTTTACCTGGTGCCCTCTTGGCAACCTCTGTCCCCATGCTGACGTGGCTGGGAATTCTGAGAGGACCTGGAGGACCTGGCTTTGGGGAGGACAGCTCTAAGGTGTTAGCCTTTTTAACTTATTCTTTATGTTTTTCTTTTCATTTCATCCAGCTTTCTTTAAAGTGGGCATTCTTATATTCACTTCAACTTGTGTTTTGCTAGAGCAGTGTTTCCCACCCTCAGCAACTTTAACTTCAGTTGAAGTCCACACATCTTAAAGCTGCTGAGGGTGGGAAACACTGTGCTACAGTAAAGCTAGAACCATGATGGTTTTTTTAAAGTCATTGAGGGCTTCTAAGACTTGTGAACCTTAATGTTGCAAATGAGAAATGGGCACTATCTTTGGAATATACAAAGTATGCTATTTGGTAAGTTTAATTTTGCTCCATTATGAGCCACTCTAATGAAACTTTGCTTGAAAAAGCATTGTGGTTTTAAGATTATTGAATGCTGACATATTTCATTTAAATTCTAATTAGAATGCCTTCTTGCTTCTAATTTAACGAGTTTTTGAAACAGTGCATATCTTTTGGAAATAAACACCCACATGTAGAATACACCATAGTTACGCAGCGTGTTTGAGTTAATGGTGCTGAAGAGGCAAGGATATTTGTATGAAAATTTATCAGATGATTGTTTCAGTTGGTTGTGAGCTGAAGTTAGGGCTTTGTTCTGTTTTGTGGGCTTTGAACCCTTTAGATTCAAAGGGAGGAATGTGATTTGGAACATGCTTAGGACCAGATATAGCACCTGCTGGAAGCCTCTTAAAGCAGCTGCATCTTTTTCCTGGGCTTACGCAGCTGCCCTTTGCACATGTACCCATGTGTGCTCCAAATCATATTTCTCCCTTCGAATCCAAAATGGTGCATAGTCTTATCTGATCCAATATGACCTGATCTGTTCTTATCACTTGCATTAAAGGAGCATCACAAGGCTTCCAAATTATTTTTTAACTTGCAGTGTTTGGGCAACAGCAAATAAGTTTTGTACTGTTGTATTACAAATAGCCCTATTTTCTTCCACTGAAATTCTTCTGTGGGATTCAAATATATTTGGAAAGCTGACTAATTTATGTTTTCTCCATAGCTATCTCTGCAGTTTGTACAAATTGCACATGCACACACAAAACATTACAGTATGCTCCTTTTATTTAGAATGCTTCATTACATTCTCTCTTTGTTGGCATTTTTCTATTCCCCACCTGAGACAATGTGAACCCACTGAGCATTCTCATTAGGCTCTTTTCAATTAAGAGTTACCCCTAGGTTTATTCTCTAAATATTTTTCTACTTCCACAAGCACTTCCCAGTGCTGTGTTTTGCCCCTGACTGTATTTGCACAGAGTTTGCTACTGTGGCATAAATGATTCTCTTTTGGCATTGTTTCAGTAATCCTTTTAATTCAGAAATATAATCTAGATTTCATCTCTGAACCCCTGAAATCAGATTTGTTTGCTATAGTTAGCACCATGGAAGACAAGGTTCTTTGGGGTAGATTTTACCCATCTTCCATCTGTTTTAGCTCATGTTTCATTCCTCCCTCCTCCCCCCGCCCCCCCAATGCCAGCCACAGAGATGAAATGTTAAGAAAAGTCCTCCGTTTACAGGTCTTCTTTAGGACTTTATCTCATCTTGGGAGAAGTAAAAGTTAATTACACCCACAGTAAGCAGGAGTATAAATAGATTTGAAAATTAATGTATCAAAGACTAAGACAAGAGTATTTAAGAGGGCAAATGGAATGAACAATTGCAAGTTAAGCATAAATGGTGAAAAAATTAGAACAAGTACAGTAGATGGAATTTGTGTTCCTTGGTAGAATGCTTACTAAATATGGGGAAATGGATGAGAAATTTTAAGACAAGCAAATGCTGATAAAAGCAAATGCAAGAAGTGGAGGATAAAGAATGAATAGATAATGAATGTGGACTGAATACAAAAATGAGTGATCAGTACAAAAAGTATTACACTGAGATAGTATGGTCATATAGAGTCATTGCTGTGAGATTGGCACCTCTATAAATCATTGAAATAAATGAAATAAATGAAATGAAATGAAAAGAAGATTCAGTTGCAAAACAAATATATGAAGGAAGAGCGTACGGGTCACAAAGTAAGTAATGGTTGGGTTGGATGGAGTTAATGAGATCCTGAAAAAGAGATGAGAGGTTTAAAAATGAAATGTGGTGTATGAATCAGTCTATGAACGTGATAGAAGTGAGCATGGTCTGTAAAGATAGAAAGGTATGGACAGGTATAACAAGTGTTGGTGTAAACTAGATTTAGTTAGATTTCCTTTTCTCTTACCTCACATCTTTGGTCTCTTTTGACCGCTACTTCTCACTCCTTTTCTCCATTATGCAAATTTATCTGCATAACATTGCTTACCTTAAAAGGAACAGCCTAATTGTTGCCTACAGTAGGGTCGGTAAGTAGATAAAACGGTGTGTTTAAAATGCTGAGAAAATGCAGTGCCTTTATTTGAATTTGCCTGAGGGAAAGATTAGCAACTCTTGTTACTGCTAACAAGGAAACAACTGCACATCTCTTTTGCAGGACCCCAAGACAACAGCAGAGGGTAAAGGGTTCATGGAGAAACTTGGTTACTGTTATTAGCTAGCATGCCTCCCCCCCCCCCTTTTATATTCTTCCGCTAAACTCTGTTTAGAAGACATTTTTGCAAATTAGTTTCATGGTCTGTTTCCTTGCTATGCCAAAATAGATTAAAAATGTTGATTGGTTTGGCTCAGAAATAATGATTCAAGAACAAAACCAAGTATAATTTAACAATTCTGTGCTGTTTTACTGTTTTTCCATTTTGCTATTAAGGCAAGCAAACTGCAGTTTCAGTTGGACACAGATAGTGTAGACAGCAAATTGGAAATGTTGTGATTAACTCAGTTTGGCTTAGCCATTCAGGCCCTTTTACAAATGTAGAAGTTTTAAAAATGCCTGTTTTATAATTGAATGGTATTTTTCAGGGGACTGAAAGTTTTAACTTTTTTTCTACTGTTGTTTCTCAGTGTATTGGGCCTGCAAGCCACAAAT